CTGTCCTCCATTACTCCCCATCTCCTACACCACCCCCGTAGGTCCCCACCACAGCTATCCCCCCTCACCCTTGCTGGCCAGCCCGCCCCTCTACTCTGGAGAATGCAGTAGCTTGCTGTACTTTACTCCTCTTCCTAATCCATCTCCCCTTCATCTCTCTCCACCTTATTCATCCACATCATGCATGTCCTCTTCAAAGACAACAGTCAGATCATACTGCCCCCCCCAAAGCTCTCGTTGGTCCCCATGCCCTCAAGAAACAGCATTCCTCTCAAGGTGCAGCCTCCCAAAGCCTCAACACTCTCCCTGCAGCCCGGTCACACTAGCCTTGTCCAAAATACTCTTGACAGCGATCTTGTGTCTCAAATCCTGATCTGCCCATTCTGATAACCCCAAAGAAAGCCCACTTTCTGGCCAGTTCTGGACTCCAGCTCAAAGGCTACCTCCTCAACGCAGCCTTCTGATGTTCCCAGGCAATGGGCTGTCACTCCTCTGGGCCCAGAGCACATCAGGGTCCGACCCCAGGCCCAAGACACAGGCCTGTGGCCAATCCTACTCATAATCTGGCCTTAGTAACCCTTCCTCAAGTCCCTGTCAGTATGGGGGCATCTTCTGGAGCCCCTGAAGGCCTAGCCCAGAGCCCGGATTGGACCATCTTCATTAAACCCTTAGAGCACAGTTGGCTGGAGGGCAGCAGAGCCATGGCCTGGACGGGGGTCCTCCCCACAGCCCACCTGCCTGTCCCCGGAGGCCCCTCACATTTCTGACCCCAGCCCAGGTTTCCACACCAAGGCTTGGCCCCCACTCTCACCTCCCCCAGAGCCCACAGGAGGAAGGGGCATCTGAGGCAACATTTCAGGGGCTCTCAAAAACAGTCCTGCCCCAAACAGCCTGATGGACCTATTTCATAATGTTTGAAATCCTTTTACTGGGAACAAAACTTCTACAAATAAAATTAATTATGCAAGATTGGTATTATTTCGTTCTTAAATATGTAAGACTTCAGTGGAGCCATCTTAGTCTGAAGTTTGTTTTGTGAGGTTTTAGGTATGGGGGTCAATAGATTTTCTATTTCTTCCTGAGTCAGTCTTATTAAATTGTGTCTTTCAAGGAATATCCATTCACCTAAGTTACTGAATCTACTGGCATAAGGTCGCTTATAATATTTCCTTATTATCCTTTTAATGTCTCCAGAATCTGTATTGATATCCAATGATGTTGACCATTTGTGTCTTTTTCCCTCTTAGACCAGCTAGAGATTTATCAACTTGGGGATATGTCCGGACTTGTGTGTTTTAACGAGGTGTTTGGTCCTCAGTCCCCTCCTGGAAGGAGCCCTCATTAGCTGAGAGAACCTGGCTCTCGATGGTATACGAAGTTGGGGTGGGAACATCTATAAGTATGTGCTGCCTGAATGTAGGGCAACCATCAGAAGCTCAATTAACACCAGAAAAGCAGGGGCAGAAGGAAGGCTGCTGCATCTCCTCCTGCTGCCCTCCCCACCCAGGCAAAGACAAGGTCCCTCCTGCCTTGTACCCCTGGACCCCTCTGTGCTGGGTCTGCCCTGGGCACAAGGATAAAGGAAACAAGAACCCTGCCCTCAAGGATCTCAAGTCTACTCAAAGGAACAGACTTAGACAACTGTAACTGGCCCATTAGTGGGGAGGAAAGCTTCATCAAATGTTCTGCACACCTGGAGAACTGGCAAAGAATAGGTGTTGTCAGGGAAAGAGGTAACCCTCAAACTCAATTCTAAACGTCCAGTGTGGGGTTACCGAGTCCTAAAGGCAGCAGAAGAGTCCTCGGAAAGGTAACTGCCTGGCGAAGCCATGAGCACAGAGCAAGGGCACAGGTAAGACCTGCGGGGCAGAGCCGCATGGCTGGGCCATCCCGGACTGAGGAGGTCGGGAGCACAGGGGGCTGGCAGGGAACTTGACCCAGTGCTGTGGGTGGGCTGAGGCCAGCATGGGCTGGCGCTCTGAAAGGGCACTCTGACAGCCGGGAAGGAGAGTTGTGGGAGGAGAGGCAGAGACCAGAAACCAGGTGAGGTGCTCTACTCCCAGCCTGGACCTGCCTCAGCCTGCTGCTGTTT